CGGCTCTGGCCCACGGCTGCCGCGTCCGCAGGACAGACGTGGCTCCTCGGCAAGTCACCTGCAATCCTCTGCTTTTCAGGGATTCTTGCCTGGATCGGTTTTTTTTTTTTTTCCACTCAAAATTGAATTAATATGAAGGATTAACACATAAACCAGTTAACTAGTTCTGGGCTTAGCAGTAGGAGCGCGTTATCAGAAATTGGCTTAATCTTCTTTTGCAAAACATTGTAAATCGTGGGGTGATGTAACTGATGCAGTGTTGTCCACAGTACTGCATTGCTTAAGGGCTAAGGGTGACTTCACCTGGTCAAAGGAAAATGCCAGCTATTCCCCAGATACCTTTTAAAGTGCTTGTGGGCTGCAGGCTGTTGTTTTGCATCCCTTCCTGTAGTTAGTGCCCTGTCTTTTAGTAATTTGGTCTATCTTCTTACTTAAGAGTATATATAATATACTTAAGAGTATATATAATATATGTGTGTGTGTGTGTTTGTATTTATGTATATGTGTGTGTGTGTGTATATATATATAATCTACCTCCATTTATCCATATACCTTATGTGTAGCGTCATTTGCTTATGTTTAATTTTGGAAAAAAAAGAAATTAAACTACTTGTTCAATCTCAAATTTACCTCATATAATGCAACATGTTTTCTCTATTTGCTTTTTCAGTGGCTTAGTGTCCCTTTTAAATAAAGGTCTGGGTTTGGTGAAAATATGTCCAATTTGTAGGCATCTCTCACAAGCCTTCTCTCTGGTCTTGCTGTGAATATATATTTGTTTTCTCCCCTAGCCCATCTTTCTTGCCTCTACAAACAAGATATCTGTCTATAAAACTTCATGTGACTTTTCTAGGGTACCTCCAAGAGCGTAATGAGGCGAAATGTGTGTTTGTTTGTTAATGCCCTTCACCTGAATATAAAGCTATCTGTGGTTAAGAATAATCCTGCAGCAGATTGAGACAAGAGTGGGGAGTCTAGGAGTAAGCTGGGGGGCCGTCCCCATCGCTGTGCTTGTGATCTGGGCTTGGCGGTGCCTGCAGTAGCATCAGCAGCCTGTGTGGGAAGAGTCTGCGAGCTGCAAATAGCTCAAGGTCTGGCAGCCCTGCTCTAGAAACTGAAATGTGGCACTTTTGTGCATACTCTAAGATAGCTCAGCTTTAACCTGACTCGTTCCTTTCAGGCTAAACATTTCAGTGTGCATATATACATATATATATATATTTCTTGTAGGTTGGAAATAAAATGTGTTGACTTTACTTGTCACAGACCTGTTGTAATTACATGGACTGGATGACTTTGCTTCCTATATTCTGCCCTAATGTTTGATAGAAAAGAACTATATCTTTGAAGTATATCTTATGCATTGAGAACACTGGAATGTTTTTAATGGAAGAATGGAAGATCAGAGAAAGGGAAATGTCAAAACTGGTACTGCTTGATTTACTATGTCTAACCTTATGTGTTTCACCCTTGTGCAGAATTGGTATGAGCTGACTCTAAAGCCACCTTTCTTCTGTCCAGCCACCTGTTTGTTGCAAGTAAAGAATTTTATCAGACAGAGAAAGAGAGAGACATCTTTGTCATTCTTAAGAAATGGTAAACACACCTGCAGGATTCTGTCAAGAAAACCAGCCAAACTTACCAGATATGTATAATGAAAAATAGCAATTTGTATCTGGATGCACAGAAATGAATTGCTTTTCATAGAAATAAAGTTTTCTTCTCAAATCACTTCATGTTCAGATTGACATTATTAATAACACTGGAAATACCGACTTAACGAGATCCAGCACTGTTGTTAAGAACAAACTGTTTTGGTTGTTTCCAAGTAACACAGACTTTTCAGAAAGCATAGGCTTGTGGAGTGAAAGCCACCTTCATCTCTCTTTCTTTGTTTGAATTTTGAGTAACCACACAATTAAACTTGCTATTTTAGAGCCACACGTCGTCTTTTTGAGGAAGAGAGGAAGGAAATTAACAAATTCTCAGCCAAAAAAACACAAATCCCTAAATGTCATTGTGTGTAATCAGAGCACATGACTAGGCATCATTTCAGGGCTCCAATCCAAGTCAACAAATGATTTACAGTATATGCACCAGCACCTCCTGATGTTAGTATATGTATGTATGTATATCGTATGTAGTATTCTTCTGTTTTTCACATACAATATACTTATCTTGGTATGCTATCTGTCTCTATTGCAAAATGTTCAAAAATCAGCAAGCTCTGCTATACGAAGGATGTGTAGGGGCTTTCAGATTTGCCCTCAGAGCTCTAGCCTAGGCCTGTTAAGGCGTTCTTTAATGTATTAGTGATAAATCAGTAGTAGTTAACCTAGTCTTTGTGTTCATTATTCCTTTTCTCAGTTGTTTAGGTGACTTTCTCAGTATTTAGCTGGATTAGGTCAGATGAATTTATATGCAAAGTCCTCTTTGTAGTTTAAAGAAAATAATTAAAATCTTGTAAAATCTTGTAAAATCTCCATGAAGCGAGTTTTATTCTAGAAGTATTTTTAACACCAGTATATGTGCATATATTGGTCAAGTGAATCTTCCTCTTATTAACTTCTATTTTCAATATTTTCCATACATAAATATGTACATTTTCCATATATAAATATGTAAATATGAAGAAATGGCAAAGAAAAACACGTGCCATCTCATCCTTATCTCCTTGTTTTGATTCTGTAGTAAAGTCTTAATTACCAATTATGTTGAATTGGCATCGCTCTGTTGACCTTCTCTTCAAGAAGCCAGAAGATAAAGCAACTGTGATCTGAAGAAATAATCCCTTTTACTTAAAGTTCTGGTTTCTTTTTTTTTTTTTTTCCCCCCACTGGTAAAATTGATGCTGAAATTACTAACATGTGCTTAGAGCATCATACAGCAATGAACTTAACTGGCGTTGGCTAATGTCTTATAGCCACAGAAATGGCCTAAAAAAGTAACCTAAAAGCTTTGAACAGTGTATTTGTAGCTACTAGTACCTACATTTATAGATACTGTGATTCTCTCAAAAGATTTTCTTTTATCTTCTAGACAATGTCACCATGTCTTTTTTACCAGATAAGGAAATGAGGCATATTGAAACCATATGGCAGCTTGAGTAAGTCCCATTCAAAGGCTTGGGAAGACACAGTTGAACACGCTGTGTTCTGGATCCGCGCCTCCGGAGCTGGCCAGTCATTCATTTCAGCAGCTCGCAGTGCTCTTCCCTGTAGCTTCTGATGTTTATGGCACCAAATCCTGCAATTTGGCTCCCGCTGCTACCATCCTTTACAAACATCTGTTGGATTCTTTAGTGTTGTGTTTTTAGGGCTTGCTTTGGGGTACAGCAGTGGAGATTTCACATACATTTTTCAAACTAAAGTTAATTTTAAAAGCTCTTTTTTTGAGAAGAGCCTTTGTGGTGCTTTCTCCAAGGCTTTTATACCCAAAAACACGCATGTGGACACCCCTGCTTTTCCCTGAGGGCGCCCTGGCTGTAGCAGGCGATTAGGTGGTTGTTGCTGGTTTTGGGGACGTATGTATTACAAGATAATTCATTTATAACCTTACTATAAAATTCTGTGTTTGCTTTTTCTAGCATTGTTTCTTCTTTCTAACAGAGCAAGTTGAATCTTTCTGGAAGATGACTGTAAATATTTCGGACCTGGAAGAGGCAAAGTAGGAATTAAAAGATCAGGAACAGTTAAATATTTAGGTTTCTGTGTGAAAAGCCTTTGGCAGCCAAAAATCTTAATGGAAGTTTTTTCTAAGTTACAATTTGAATATCCTTGGATCTGGATGGCTGAGAAATTGTAATGTCTGCCCAGCGAGTTGTCAGGAGTAGCTTTATCTCTCTGTGTGCTGAAACCTGGCTATATTTATCATCTCACATGGTGCTAAAATAGGAAGCAACAATTGCTTTGGGTATACTGAAAGTTTGAGTTAACTATGTAATTACATTTTAGACAGATAATTGAATATAACGAGCACTATTCTCGAGTTTCTACAAATGTGAGGTTGAAATGAGGGAAACGGGAATTTGAAAACAGATGAGATCTCACTGGCATATACCAGCTGTGATATTAGCCTTAGCTTCCCATACTAAAGATGGTAATGGCTAGTGATGGGAAGTTTTTGCACCTCTAAAGGCACCAAACAAGTTATGTGGAGTAGTTGTGAGGAGAGAAATGACAGGGCACATTGTTTCCGAAAGAAATAAAAGCTAAACTAATATGATAGAAATCAGAATATTGCTTATTCTTAAGATGCTTATAAGCCTCATATGGCATGCTTCTTAAACACTAGTTAGCTGTTTCCTTGGTTAGAAATGCACCAGGATTTGTGGGTTTGGTTGGTTGACTTTGAAGAAGATTGTGTGCTTTGAAGGGGAAAGATTAGGGTTGGCCTATAAACACTGCCGAGTTTGAGCAGTCAGGATGCCAAACTTTGAATCTAAAGCAAGGTCTCCTCATGTCTGGAAGAGGGAAACACTACCCAGCAGATGAGGTCCTGTCCACGGTCATGCTTGAAGGGAGTAGCTGTTGGATGGGTAAGTGGTTCAAGGGGAGCTTTATTTACTGAACGCAGTCAAAGTGGAAAATGCAGGCACCTGAATAGGGCAGAACTTGCTGTGGACTTGTTAATAGATATGGGTGGCCTCAATGGACAGGGTATCAGATGGACTAAAAGCATTAAATAACAGAGGTGGAAAGATATTTCAGTTTTGTCTGCAATACTGTTCAAGAATGTTCTTAACATATTTAAGAATATCAAGAATATACTTTGGTATTTGTCATAAAAAAAAAGAAGAAGCAGTCAAAATAGTTCTGGAAGGCCAAGTTGGTGATAGTTTCGTTGCAAAAAATTTGTAGAGTGTAAGACAAGACAGTAAAGAGAAGTCCCTGTTATGATGATGCGGTGATTAAAAAATCTGCTATCTGAGGTATTCTGTCAGCCCTTTCCCTTGGTTAAAGGCTCCCTTTCTGACCAAGCTCTGTTTTGTTTTTAGGAGCATAGCATTGTGTTTAAAATGGAAGTGGACATAAATGGAGAGTCCCGAAGTACCATATCCACCCTGCCTGTGCCTCTCGCAGAGGTGAGCGCTGCAGACAAGAGCGATGCCGAGAAGCCCCGATGCTCCAGCACGCCGTGCTCGCCAATGCGGCGGACAGTTTCGGGCTATCAGATCCTCCATATGGATTCTAACTATTTGGTCGGCTTCACAACTGGAGAGGAGCTGCTGAAATTAGCTCAAAAGTGTACAGGAAATGAAGAGAGCAAAGGGGAATCCGGGCCGACCTTGCGCTCCAAGCAGCTCGATTCGGGACTCGCGCGTTCCTCCCGGTTGTACAAAACCCGAAGCAGGTACTATCAGCCATATGAGATCCCGGCAGTGAACGGGAGGAGGCGGAGGCGGATGCCCAGCTCAGGGGATAAATGCACTAAGGCTTTACCATACGAACCTTTCAAGGCACTACATGGCCCCCTGCCTCTTTGCCTTTTGAAAGGTAAAAAGGCTCACTCTAAATCCCTGGACTACCTCAATTTAGACAAAATGAGCATCAAGGAACCTGCTGACACAGAAGTGCTACAATACCAGCTCCAACACCTCACCCTTAGAGGGGACCGTATGTTTGCAAGAAATAACACATGAACTCGGCTCCGGAATTTAGAATCCCTTTCTGGTTATTTCTCCGTTGCTGCAAAAATCCACTGTTGTACCGTGTACATGACTGTCCACATCGTAGGTGGTTGTATCAGCTCAGTGTTACCAGAAAGTAATTTATTTGGCTAGAATTCTGATAATGCGTTGTGCTCCAAGCGCTTGGAGGGCACTACATCCTTCCAGAGCAAGCAGCTTCTGATTCAAACTTGACTGTGGCTGGTGGATATTCCTTTGGACACCTTTTAACAAAGAAAAAGCTTTGGGGGTTTTGATTGGTTTTGGGGGAGCTGGGTTTTTTTGTACAGTTAGATCTAGTATTTACAGTAATTTAACACTGAAAAATGGTGATGTCTGCTTGGTTGTTGCTCATTTTGGCTTGATGTTAGAAACTGCTGTTGGATAAGTGCTCAAGTTACCTTCTTGTTTCTTCCTGTGTTCTACAGTACAATGTACGTATGCTTTCTTTTCTCTTTTATTTATTTTTTTTTATTTTTTATTTTTTTTTTTTTTACGTAACAGGAAGGAATGTGAACTTGGCAAAATTAGATCACTTACTGTTTAAACAATCCAGTTCAAACACTTTGTAACTGGGCGTGCACTGGTGAGGGGGAAATTCACTCATAAAATATACCTTTGATCATTTCCTACTTTAGGTCTATTAAGTTATTTTTTTAGTATCTGCATGGAAGTGATTGCTTTACGTCCTCTGTTGGAAATAAGTATTTGGGATATTTAAAAAAAAAAAAAAAAAAAAAAAAAAGCAAACAACCTTTGGGGGAGTGAAGGGTTTTATTTTTTTTGTTGTTAATGTGATTTTATTTTATTTTACATTGTCTTGATGTGTAAGCAAGAATTCACTTCAATGCCAGTAAATACACTAGAGTGTCCGCATCGGTATGCGAATAACGTTTTTTAATTTTAATTCATGAATTCTCTAACTAACATACATAGTAATGGAAAATGTCAAATAACTTGAGCAATCCTTTGCAAATTGAATTTAATTGAAGCACTGCACACTTGTGGCAATTCAGAAGGCAGGCTTTTAGGTGGAGTGCAAGTGAAGTGTTTCTGTGGCATCCTTGAAGAGCGGATCCTGGCTTTTGTAACAGGGTAGATGGAATACACTGGCTTAACTTTTCGCTAAGACATTTTCTTCCAAACATGACATCAGATGCAATTTTGACAGTTTCATTCTTAGGTATATTTAAAACATATTAATAACTTACGTTTAAAAAAAAAGAAAACAATAGCTTTTAGACTTTTTTTAGGTACAATTTATTATTGAAGCAGTGTTCAGCTTAGTTTTGGTTGATGACCTCTCTAGAAATTTAAGAATAATGAAGATCACGGTGCTTCAAACATAACATAACATGTTTGATGGGTTCTTCCTGGCACAGTTGGGGTATTTATTGTTTCTCCTTGAGAATGAATGGGAAGCCCAGGCCACTGTATGTGTTGTGGGAAACCAAGAGATCTCTTCATTCTTTCACTTACTGCCTTCAGTTACAACTGGGGAGTAAATAAGAGCCCAGTAGTCTGAATTTTACTGGTTTGGTTAATGTTTTAGATTTGTTAGAGTCTTTCCAACAACTGATGTGTATTTTAAAAAGTTAGCTGCACCTCTGTAAATTTCATGTATTGAACAACAAGCTCTAATGTCATTTTTTTTCCTATATAGGCTTTAAATTTGAAAAACAGAATATGGTCAAATGCCAAAGAGAAGGGGGCTTTGTTTAGAGATAAACACCACTATTTATTGAAATATGAAATTGTATTTCTGGCTGAAAAAATAAAAAGGGTGATATAAATACATATTGTTGTGGAGTCTTTTGCTGTGTAACCTCTCGTAGTATGTTTGGGGAATAGAACCCGTTGAGGGAAACGAGTTGGTTGTGTGAGCTTTAGGTCCCTTCACGAGCATTAAAAGAGTGAAGGTAGAAGCAGTACAAGGGAGTGGTACGAATCTGCTCTTAACCCCAAAGCAGGTTTGTGATTAAGGACCAAAGGTTGGACTTGCTGAGCTGAGTCTTAAACTGGGTGAACTGATGGATGACGTGTTCATTTTTTAATATACTTGATTTCAGTGACTTCTCTCTCTTTGCTTTGTTTCAAGTACCTGTTTGTAGCTACCCCTGGTCTAGGAGCTCTTGCTGAGCACGTTTACTGTGCTGGGGCTGTTCAATTGCTGCCTAGGGCTACTAGAGTCTAAAGCAGAATATGTAACAGCCGAACTTTTAAAAGTGTTTCTAAAGCTGCTCTTGTAAGTGTGTCTTTTTTCCTTCTGGGAGGAGCAGAGGAGCAAGTCGAGAAAGGTTATTGCTTAATGGCTCAAAATACAGGCGCTGTCTGTAGGTTACTGGTTACTGTCTGGAGATGGAAGAAGGTTTTGAGGGGTTCAGTACTTGCAGCATAAATAACCTTGTTTTGTGGGCAAATAGAGAAGAGAAAGGGGCAAGTTTAGTCTCGAGGAAGACTTACAAGGAGAGAATAGAAAGGCCATAAGCTGCATAAAAAAGACTTCCAAAATCCCCGCTGCCTGGAGAAACGTGAGCTGATTAAAAAGAGGTCACCTTAAGGAAAGCTCGGCCATGCTGGGGTGTGTAAGGTGCTGTTGAAGAGCTGAGAAGGCTGCCCGGGGCTCAGAAGCACAGCCTGGGAGAAGCAAAGTGCGTTTTAAAGCAGGTTTTCTTTTGATAAGAAACAGGATGCAGTTTGGAGGGGGGAGGGGGGAAAAAAGCCTAGGGTCAATGACAAACCAGTGTTAAAGTTTATGAACTGAATGGTGCCTCTGTAGCAGCATGAAGGTCAATATTATAGCTGATACTTCCCAAGCAAGGAGTTGTTAAAGGATAGCGTCACTGTTGTTTCCAGGTCTTTCAATAGTACCAGAGAATCTGCAAAAGAAAATGAACAACAGGATCCAATTTTGATCTTTGCTTGATTGGACAGGTGGCCTAGGTAAAGTAAACTTGTTGTGTTAAACTAATTTAGAGAGAGATGTATATTTTACAAAGAAATATGCAAATGTGGGCTTCCGTGAGAATAAAAGCACCAAAAAAACTAGAAAAGCTTCTTTGAGAGGAACAATAATCTTGAAGGGGAGCTACATTACCGATATATAATTGAGTACTACATTCAGCTCTTGTAGATCTGCATTTTTTTTCCTATGTTTGAAAGTTGAGTAATGTTCTGCAATGCTAATAACTTTAATGAAAATCTTAAAAAGCGGCACTGAAAAATAAAACTACATGCGTGTTTCTTGGCTTGTAGCTCGGGAATGCAGCTTCACTGATGCCCTTCCTGGGGGGATCGGAGCTGTTTGCATGAGTGGTTCCCAAGCGCCTGGGTGTGTTAATTGGGTCAGCAGTTTCCCTGATGGGTGATGAGCCTGTGATAGAGTGGCAAAGAGCACACAGCTGATAAATGGGGCCTCAGAGGGCCTCGCTGAGGAACACGTTTGCAGCATTGCTTTTCAGCTGTGTCGCATCACTGTTTTTAGTCTAAGGTTAAGTCCACCTTCACAAATCCTTGAAAGCTTTCCGGCAGGTCGTGTGATTCGGCCTGGGCGGCTCTCGGGAAGCATCACGCAGTGCATTCAGGACTAGAGTATGGAAAACATCCGTATTTGGGAGGAGCAGGGGAATTGCTAGTTGTCTGAGGTACTTGTTTTTCATGTCAAATCTAGGTATTGTTGTAAAATGTATATTCTGTGTAAAAACAGAACTGTTCCTGTGATTCTGTGAGCTACTTTGCTAGGTGTTTTTCTCTGACCCTAACCAAGGGAGTAGGTTTAGTAGTGTTGGTTGTGAGGTGTCTGTATCTGTCTGTAGAGTTGTGAGGTGTCTGTATCTGAGCTATGAAGCATCACAGATGCGTAAAGATCTGTCTTGTGTGCCCAAATTAACAGTCCAGCAATTCTTCGGCTGTATTTCCTTACCTCAAGGAAGGCAAATCAATCTTCAATCACCTTGGTTTTTCCATGAAGGACATGAGGGAACGTTCTCAGTGCCTCTGGTTGTTTCATTTGACTGCTCAGCTGTCTGGTTGTGGGGCAGTAGTTTATGATTCATTTCTTCTGAGGCATTGGGGCAAGTTCTAAACCTTGTTTCTCCGGCAATTTTTATGGGATGGCTTGAGGAAGAGACAGTTCACCTGGTGCCGCAAAATCCAGTCTGTTTTATGTCCATCTTAATTTACTCTTAACTTTAGTAGCTTGGCGGTAGAGAATGGCATCAAGGCAGCCCTGTAGAAGAATTATCTAGACCACATCAGAAGAGCTAAGGAGAGAAGACTGTCGGTAGAGAAAAAGATGAAGAATCAGCTGACTTTATTGAAGACAAAAGGAAAGGTAAGGCAATTAACTGATTAATGTTTAGTCCTTTTTTAGGAGATGACTGTATGAATCACTGCTTAGTGGTCCTTATTGAAGCATTAGTCTGGAGTGAAAGGTGGGGAGGACAAGGATGGTGAGCTTGGCACAGCGCTTTCCTCTGGGAAAGGAGGAGTGGGAGAGCCAACAGAGAGTCCACGTGGATGTATCGAGAGAAGGCTGAAGTGATAAAAAGAAAAGCTCATTGGGGTAGTACTGCAGGAGTAGGAAGAATGGAATAACGTTACGGCTTCAGGGTGAGGAGCAGCAGACACGTGCAGGAGAGGGCTGATTGCAAGCGTGCATCTAGGTGTCTCGGGGTTTAAGAAGTATGGTGGGATGCATTCACAGAACCTTCTGATAGGAGCTGGACAGTGGAGAAGGTGGAAAAGAGGAGCTTAAGGTTATGTGAGTAAGTTTGCATACTTATAAGCTTATCGGAGAAAAAAAAGTTCCGTGGCAATAAAATGATAAGCTGAATGCTTTATGACAGTCAGGTAAGTGCTGAGTGCAAATCCCTTCCTGTGCTCCTGTGCTATCCCGCAGCTCTTCCTAGTGCCAACAGGCTTCTGGTGCCATTTCATAGGGCTCTCTGGCAAAACCCCATGCAGGAAGCGACCTGAGCCAGAAGAAGTGTTTCCACTGTAGTGTTGTTTATTATTATTTGCAATAATAGTAATAAGTTCAAGCTTCTTTTTGTATTCCAGCATAAATATCAATTTGGATATAAAGGATGTAAGTAAAATTCTTGCCCAGTTTCATTTTCGCTAGACCGTTGCCTTGTTCAGCACCCGATGACCTGTTATTCCTGCAAAGGTTGTTGAGACCTGAGGGCTAAACTATGCAAGAACTTTGCAAATCGCATTAACAGCTTGAACTTTTTATGAAAAACTGAGTAGGGCATGATTTGCTGTAATGATTTGCATTAACCTGTTTCTCAAAAGTCTCAAAAATTGTTGAGCAAAAGTGTTGGATGCGGAGATGCTTTTAGCATTCTATTTCTGGCCACAAATATAGCGGTGCAGAGCTTCAGTGTGTGAATTATAGGCTGCAAATGGATGAAATTGTAGAGGAAGAGAGATAATATCATAATGCACTAGGATATCTAGTGGCAGGGCCCCAAGAATTTTTGCTGAGTGATACAGACTGGGGAGAAGAGTGCAGTATAGGTAAGATTCATCTTTCTGACTTAGTTAAATGATTTAATGTTTCTCATGTTAATTGGGACAAACATCATAAAATATTTATGAAGGAAAATCAGAAGATATCCAGAATAACTGAGGCTCCAAGCAACTGGCTCAGTGTAAGATTTCTGCCTTTCTATATTAATATTTTACATAAAATTTAATTTGCTTTAATTTCTATCAGCCTTTTCCATGTTCAGCTGATAGCATTTCAGAGGTAGTTTTGAAGCAGAGATGGTTGGGAAAAAGTTTGGCACCAGAGCGAGAAATACAGATTGTGCCATCGGTTAAACTGGTAGATGAAGCATCAAGTAAGTGGTGGCAGTGCCATCGATTTAATCATTTTAAAGCAGAACTGCGCAAACACACACATACACACAGAAGATCATTCATCACTCCAGGGAATACAGGTGGGACAAGATGATCTATAAAAAGACGCTATCTATAAAAAGATGACATCTATAAATTCTTTGACACACAGGCATGTTTTAGGGCTGTGTTTCATAAAATTGAATCCGTGACTAAACGTTTGGGGAGGGTTGTTAGAAGGCTGGATTACTCCTCATCAGTTGGATCAGTTATTGCACAGAAGCATCTCAGGATGTTTTTTCCCTCAGTCTGATGAGACCTAGCGCGTTTCAGCAGGATAGACCTGCATTAAGTAGCCTTCTTTGAAACATCTTCAGAGGCTAAATGTGAGGCTATCTGTGAGGCTATCAGAGGCTATCTGTGAAAGGAAAGGCGAAAAAAAAAAAATTGAGGATTTATAAATGCCCAGGGAGGTGAACTTTAAGATGCTTTACTTTGGAAGGAAACTTTGCAGGAAGATTATTTAAAGTTGCAATAGGATGAAATTGAGAGGCCTGAATCTGTTCCTACTTAAACTTTTTTTTATGAATTTATACAACTTCCTACTCTCTCTGGGCTCCCGGAGAAGGCCTGGGTCCCACAGGCAGTTAAGTTGACACCAAGGGGGAAGTTAAGCTCTTGAGTGGTGATGTTGGGAACCAACCTGCCACTGGCAAAAGGAAAAGGTGTCACCACAGGAGTCTTCATGCTGTGTTCTAGGAGGTGACAGGTTGTGTTCCTGACTTTGTAGCCAACTAAGAAACTGGATAAGGAAACGTGAATAGTCAGCCCAAACTGTTATTAAAAAATTGATAAGCAAATCTTGTTTTTACTATATTTGAGTGTTTTTGTTTGCTTTCCGGTTTTAGAAGACCCATGATACGCTTGTTGTTTTCACTTTTCTCCTGTCATCTTAAATCTTTTTATCTTTTCAACTAAAAAGAATTTAGATCTTTTATATTCTTATTTATATTCTTAAGATATAATACACATTTCCTCAGATATCACCAAATGCCAAAAAGCACAAGATTTGTGGTAAAATTATGAGATGTGACAGCCTTCACTTGTCTGTGTTCTGCTGTAGTTCTCTCTGAAGTGTCCTCGGATATTCTGCATTTTTCTGCTTATAAGCAGTTTTTCTTCCCTGGAAGGAAGTGTTGGCATTCAGAGAGATGTAGTGGTTAGTTACATTGTGACACTTCTCAAGTAGTTTCACATCCAGGATTTTATCGGTATTGTAGTCGTGCTTACAATTATTAGGAACTTGTTTTTATCTGGCTCTGGAAAGAAAACTTTCTTTAAAATGAGTATGCAGGCTGTTCATGGTTTGGCCCTACTTTGAAATCAATGGGGAAATGAGCCATGGCTTTAATGATTCAGGAGCTAAACTTAGGGAAAAATAAAGCTATATTGCTCTATTCTGCTGCCAGCCCTTCTGCAACCTGCACGTTTCCTCATTTCCTACCTTGCGTAGGTTTCATTGGTTAATTTAGCAGAGCTTCAGCCAGAGGACAAGATGTTTGTGGAACAGCAGGAGTCTCTCAAGTGAGCAATTTGGGAGAGAAAAATCTTACTTGGTTTAGACCTTTGAAAAATACTCTTTGCAGAGGCTTTCCCATCCCAGCGGAAATGACGCTTCGGGTGCTTGGGGCTTTTCTTCTTTATTTGAGTGAGCTGTGGGAAGAAGGCAGAAACCTTGGTTCAACATCAGTAAATGCTTAATACTAATGTGTAAAAATCCCGCCCATGAAACAGGAGTTTCTTGTGTATGTGGTTAACATCTGCTTAGCATCTGGAGAGACAGAGAGCAGTGATCAGTTCGACACACCCCAGGTAGCTTTTAAAAATACCTGCTTTATTTCTTCCCCTCTCTGCTGCTGTTATCTGTAGTATTGCACTTCACACTGCTTGCACAAACGAGACATTTTCTTGCCTCGTCGCTCTGGCAAGTCCGTCTTTAATCCGGCCCTGGGGTGAAATGGCAGTAATCCCGACTCTTCAATTTCCTGCAAGGGGAAGGTCAGCAGCGAGACGTTCACTGGGGCAATTGCAGCACAGGAGTAATCGTGCTGGTTAGGGCTGCCGCCGAGGAGAGCCCCAGTGGCTTGTCTGATTGGGAGGCTAAATCTGTCCTTAATCACCCAGATAAGATGACATCACCAGCAGGCTATAAACTCTCTGAAAGATTAATGTCCTCTCTCCAATGCAAACTTAATCCTGAACTAGGCAAAATAAGGAAAGGCGACTTCTATTTTTTTTAATTCTGTGACCCACACTGCTGAGGTGAGCGATACCTGCGGGGCAGCACGGCTCGGGTCGGGCCGGCACGCAGCTCCCTGCGTCACTGCCGCAGCGCCAGGGCCCTAAGGAGAGCCCAGGAGGCCAACAGGAGCACGTGGCTCGGGATGCTCCGGCTGGCAGTTAAACCCGGAGCAGCGAGTCGCCTAGGGAATGGCGAGGCTGCGCGAGAAGGGGGTGTCGGGGGCAGCGGGGCCCTGAGGCCCGCGCGGGGGCCCAGTGAAGGGGCTCTTTGTGCGGCCGGGGACGTTCCCACACGCAGCCGGTGCCTGCTGGCCGGGACGCGCCGGGCCCCGCGGCGCCCTTGGCCCTCGTCGCTCGCTGCCCTCGCGGGCAGGGAGGCCGTGGGGCCTGCCCGAGGCAGGAGGCGCCCGGCCCGGCCAGTGACATGGGAGCAAGCGGGGCCCGGCTTCTGTTTTTATTCCTTTTTAACCAAAAATAAACCTGGGTATAAGAGGGCCTTAAGACCAGAGGGCCCAAATGAGTTATGTTTTGGCAGCTCTCCTGTACAGGGAAATCTAGTTACCTAGTTTGCGCTCTTGTGTGTGTTGGCAGTAATGCGATAAGAAGGGTAATATCATAAGAAATATGAGTGAGGAGAAGCATAGGTAATTATTAATATGTCAGATGCAATCTCTTTTTCAGGTTATGATAGAAAATGGCAAATAGATCTTCTTCTGTACCTTCTGTGTCATGTCAGGCTTAGAAGCTTGTATTATTTTGAATTCCCTGAAGTTTTATTTGCACTAACTGCCTTGAGTAATGAAAATGGAGGAAGGTACAGGGAATGTTTTGGAGGCAGAAATTAATAATTATTATACACATTGGGTGAAATATGTTAAGCAATGCAAGCAGCTCTGTTGAATCTAAAGCCGTAATTGAGTTTATAATGTCCTTGCCTGACTTCAAAGATGTTTCCACAGATGAAAATGTATTTATGTTGGTTTTACCCTTGGGTGGGTAAAACTTTTCAATGAAGATTGAATTTCTATATTTCTTCTTTTCCCAATTAAATTTTCATCTTACACTGCAATTCATCTTGTTTTGCTGTCAGTCAAAAAAAAAAAAAAAAAAAAAAAAAAGAAAAGAAAAAGAAAGATTGATTGGAAGATTGGAAACTTTGAGCCAAATTTGACTTCTCTGAGCTCTACTTTATTTTTTAAAGAAAAAATATTTTTTTAAGGGGCTATCCATGAGATATATATGTGACTTGGCTGCTAAGCAGAACCATAGGCCTTTTTTACTGATCTAGTTCAGTCTTTAGTAAAGCTTAGAATTTTTTTTTTCATGAAAGATAAGGAAGATATATATTAGAAATCAGTTGGATGACTCTAAAAAGGAGGAGGACACTAATACAGATGTGAGAAATGGTTGAAGTCGGCTGTTGCAGAGCTGCTGCACTGAGAACAAGTTGCATTTTTTGCATTTTTGGGAGTATTTGGCCTCTTCCCAATTCTCAGACTGAAAGATTTTAGGCTGTGAGAGGGCGCGATAGTGCCTGGCCTGCTCTCAGCCTGCAACTTGTGATCCAGCTACAACCTGTTGAGCCGTTGTGCCTTTGTGCCTGTGTGCTATTTCATTTCATTGTCATCGTGTGTATTTAAGCAATTAAATACAATTAAATTAAATTGCATTCTCAAATTGGCGTCTCTGGTTTTATTTTGATTAAAACAGAAACACCCCAAATAATGGGGAGGCTGTAGGGGTTTAAAGTTAGGGACCTGTCCTCCTCCTGGAGCTGCAGCCATAGCCTGAGCACAGGGCTAAGCGAGGACCATCCCCCTTAAGTACTGCCCTCGGATTCCTTTGGAGAGCAAGAGACCATTGCTCCTTGTTCTGCCCACTGGCCTTTCTTCTGCTTCAGTGCTCTTTTGATACCAAACCACTGGAGGAGGAATTTGGAAAGAGTCTGTAAGATGAGTTTAGAAAAACTCTCCGTGCAGCAAAGCTCAGATTACATTAGTGGATTTTCATTCCTGCTAAACTGTTAAGTATGTATTAACTACTCAAGTGTTTTCTCCATGTCATGAAATAAAATTATAACTATTAATTATGTTATCCTTAACACATAGAAAAGAATGCATTAATACTGAAGCATGCGACTGCACTGAATTTTTCAGCCAACTGAAATTGAAATATACTTTGTATTTATTCAAATCTCGATTTAGATTATGTCATCTTTATTCTGCAAGCGTAGTGTTAGGGATTCAGCTAAGCTTGTCCCTGTTTCCTTTAATTTCAGTGCCGATCCTGTGCATGCTATGTGCCTTATTAAGCGGCTAGCAGGTTTTATAAATGTTTGAAGTTGAGTGCCAAGTGTAAATTATTTTTGCAGGTTATTTAATTGCTCTGTTTTTGGTTTCATTAGCTGCTGCAAGTAGTTTATATCTAGGCAAAGGGTGTTGGTACTTCATGCTTCTGTGCAGCATTTGTAGGTAAGATGTTTTACATCCTGAAAACATTATTTCTCACAGTAATTAAATGGAGATTTGGCAGAAAGGAAGGACTTGCAGATAACCTGTTTCATTGTGAGTGCTGCGCTTGCTACTCCCACAGGTTATTTGTGCATCTTGCTTTTCCATTACCTTAATGGTCTCAACTGGTTCTATTTTTCCATGCCTCAACAGAGCGCTAATTTAATCTGAAATTCAGAGTGACCAAATTGTGCAGTCAGCCCTCAAAAGCAGTCCCCAAACCACGTGCAGCCTTAGGAAGTACACAGAGCATCCCTTGAAATACCCTCCTTGCCCTGGGAGCAACCCCCTTGCGTGGCGGGGTGTCTGTGGCGTGTAAATGCAAACCATTTCTGAAGATCAAACGCTAGGAAGTTTCTGTTATAATAATAATAATAAACGGCGGAGCCTGGAGGCCAAGCGAATCCCATGTGATGTGGCAGTTGCCAAGGTAACCAGCTTTATTTGTGAAGCCCCAGTATAAGAATTCCTGTTTACCAAGTCAGGGCTTGGGGGGGGGGGGGGGGGGGGGGTTGTTCTTCCTTTCTCCCCCTTTTTTTTTGCCTTGCAGAACAAAGGGCTGATGAGCAGCGCTCCGTTTCCATCCTGCTTTCCTCGTGGTGACATCTGACGGGGGCGTTTGACCCCTGCTGTAGCAGCCGGGAGGAGCGCAGCCCTCGCAGGTGTGACCTCATTTATGTGCGAGTTGCCGTGTGCTTTGCTAGAGCGGCTCTGACTTCTCCTGGCTCTTCCATGGCGCTGAATTTTACTCCTGCTGACAGCAGAAATGCTCCAAGCAGAATAAAATTAGCTGGAGAACGTTGAGCTCTGTCGTCTCGCTGCTTATTATAATTCCCAGTGTGGTTTCAAAGAAAAATCTGAAAGAACAGCATTTTCCAAAAGAGAATAAAAAATAACCCTGTTATATATATATACTTTTTTTTTTTTTACACTAGCAACAGTGGAAAGCACAATGCTATTTCTTGTTTTCCACTGTGACTAGGCGAGAGGATTACAACTAGTGCAATGGCTTTGGGTTTGATTTTACTTGTATTTGAAACTGATTGCTAATAATTTTAAACCATTTTCAAGAATCCTTTGCTTAGAAATGGTGCATCTGTGTTTGATCCTTTGGATGAAAATTATGCTCAGTAAGAAGCAAATTTTTGTGAAAACCAACAGAATAGCTTTTTCTGTGAAACTAGTGGAATGTGCCATTTGATAGGATTTGATTGCCAAAATATCGTTGCTGTGCCATGTGTTGAAAATAAATTTGGAAGAAACCTGGGGAAAAAAAACCCTACTATTTTGAGTGCAAGCCTTAGCAACCAACCTACTTGGTTGCAGAGAATATTGCAATTTGTTCTACTTCTGTGAAAACCAAATGTCACAACAATTTCTTTAAATAATTAGTGGAATAATTGCTTCTAGCCGTTTTCCCTTGGAAAAATGAAGCTATTAAAAATAAACAGCAGCAACTTGTATTTGGAAATACAAGTGCCTGAACTTAGACATGGCTCCTGAATGTGAGGGGTTTGTTATTAAAGGTGCCAAGACCGGCTGCTCCTGCTGACGCCCGTAGCTCTGAATACACAGCACGGGTGATGGGGAGGTCATTTTAGGCATTGGTATTTGGAAAAATGTCCCTATTTAGGCTGAGGAACCCTTTTTGATGGAGCGTGATCCTCAGTGTTATATTGTTATATTGGTAATACTGTAAGCTACATAATTTGAGGAACTGGAGCCGTAGTGAATGCAGCGGCCGGCTGAACCGAAGCTGCATTAATGTGGAAAAGCACCTTAGGGTCGTTGCATAGGAGCGCTTGAGCAGGCGTAGCGTTAATACATCAGTTCCTATTTCAAATAACGTGCTCAGTTGTTCCAGTAAATTTGTAAAGTAGTTTGGGTTTAAGAGCAAGGAATGCCTAGATATAGCTGCAGAAATGTAGGTCAGAGCAGGCACGATTTCAGCTAATTGGGATTTTGTTGGATGGCTTCCCGGCTTTGACGGTACACAACTCGGCGCTGTCTTAGATGCTGCTGTCCTTCTCTGGTGCCTGGATAATGCAGGCCAAGCTGTGCCTTGCAGGGCAAGCTCCTTGGCCTTGTCAAAACGCTGAAGAGCTGCGCTAAGCTCAGTGAGGTCCCAAAGATCTGTTGCTGCTCTTAGATGCCATTTCTGTGTGTCCCAAATCAGTGAGAAGCAGCTGAGAGGAAGGGCTAGCAGAGATACATGGAGAGGCCTGGGGTCAGCAGCACAGCAGCGGGCTTACGGCCACGGAAGAGAATTAAAAGTTTCCATTTGCACTTCCCAAAAAGGGTCTTCTGAGCTTGGCTGTGGCTGCCTGAGATCCTTGTGGGGTCCCTGCGCTCGTCCCCGAGGGCAGGAGCGCGGTGGCCGGGTCTCCCCATCCCATCCACGTAACCGCAGTGCCCCTGCTCGAAATACCTCCTCGCCACAGTGCGCCTGGGACAGCCAGCCAGGCTGTCTCCACACACGGAGCTGATTTATTACAAACGTAGCCCGTGCAAGGCCGGGCCGTGGGAGCGCCGTGTGGGGCCGGAGCCGTTCTCCTTGCACAGGGAGGAGGCTTCTGCTGAGGAAAAGTCATTAGCTCCCCCTTCTAGAAGAGGGGAGCTGCCTCAGGTGTGGGAAAGGGGGCTCTTTTTTGGCCAGAGTTCTTCTTGGCCTGGGATGGAGCTTGAATCCTGGAAGCTCAGTTGTCCATATAAAGGACTTCCTTTTTGTTGAGGGGTCAAAAATAAACACTAGTATAAATACTTTTTAGAGTCTTTGACCTGTGCTGCTTGTTCCAGCAGGGCCGCTTACACAGAGGTTCATCCTTATTACTTTGTAGCTCTCGGGCTGAAATCATCAAACCCATTTGAACACACTGCGTTGTTTCACAGGAGTGTCCTGTCTTCTACCTCCATGACCATCTTGCGTGTAGCATCAGTAGTAATAAGAAAAAAAAAATTATAATTCTTTAATTGTATATGTTTTTTTTTCTCAGTAGATAGATTTCAGAATAACTGCAGATAGGAGAAGTAGAATAGTGAAGCTGCTCGGAAGAAATGAAAACAGTTGAGAGAAGGTGGAGGAAATTCTTAAATTTCTTTTTTTAATGATCATAATAATAATAATCCTTTTTTGTAGGCTTTAGATAACAACTTTCCAGAGGTCAAATTTCTTTTCTCTCTCTTTTTTTTTTTCTTTATTTTCTTGAAATAAATTTCCTGGCCTTTTCTGGTGAAAGATTTATGAATTGGGCAAATATTAAGAGCTTTAGGCAGGAGTTGTACTTTAGAAAAGCAATTTTTTTTTTTTATGAAAAGCATTGCTTTACATATAGCAAGGTGCACCTTTCTACAACTACACTCCTTGAATAAAAGGGATGATGGTTTGTGCACTAAAAAGTTGACATCTGCATAGAGCATTGACAAAATAAAAGGTAATGATGGGAAGCTTATTTTAAGTGGCTTGAACAGAGAGCTCTGTTTTAGTGACATTTGGCTTTGTTAGCAATTCATGGAGCTGCCTTTGGGGAATGACCCTCATGGGATTCATGCTTAGACATCCATTGACATCATACGCTCAAACATTTGAGTATTAAGAGAAAAGAATACTGGTACCTATTGGTTTTAAATAAGTAGGAGTTATCTGTGACTAGTCTGGAATAAGCAGACGAGGGCAAAGAATCAGGGTTTCTGTTCTTGGCTATCTTTACTTCTCTCTGACCTGCACTTCACTTTCTTAACTGAAACACTTCTTTACAGTGCAGAAGTTTTCAGGACCTGGCAGATGAGACGTGTTCAAATACTTCATGCGGCGGCTTTCTCTCTGCGATCCCAGAGCTCAAACGCTGTTTTGAGGCATTCCACAGGCGCAAGCCCTGCGGAGAGGACGAGTTGGATGATCTTTGTGGGACGGGGTGCACAACAGGTTCCCTTCTGTGCTCCGTGGCAAGGACAGCTGATCTGTCCCATTTGCCTGGCAGGGCATCAGGCCAATGTAGGGCAATATTAGTACTCACATAAACATCCCAACAAACCAACGTGCCCACCTGTTTTAGCCTGCTCTGAAATCCTTAATTGAGCTCATGAGAGAGGGAAGTTCATTTCTGCAAGCATTTGTATAAGTTAAATAGGGAGCATTTAAAATCACACTGCTTGTGACTTAAGAAGATCTAAAATAAAGTGAAAATTCAGCTGGGACTAGGAAGAAGGAAATCTACAGTGATTCTTTGACAGCCTATTAGTCACCATTTGAAATGTAATTTTTATTTTTATTTCTTTTTCCCTGGGAATTGAGGGTTGAAGACAGCATATTTGGCAAATGATGAATATTTCTAGCTATAGATGTTTTCCATTCCTAGAAGAATAAAGAGATAAAAGCTCTTGGGAAGCTGGAAGCTGTGGCCTGACGGGGCAAGAGGAAGTTGACTGTCTAATTCCAAGATTAGATCCTTGTCTTCTCTTTTATCTGTTTGATCTAGACATCGGTAGTATTAATGAAACATACATGTGTTGTAAGTTCAAACCTGTTTAATTTCAATTGATTATTTGTGAATAAAAGTTGTTTCCCTACAAAGGCCTAAAACACTTTGATCTGCAAGGCAATAATGAGAATTTCTGTTTCCAGCTACTTCCTAGTGATGACTTTTCATATCAGCTGTTGCCTTTTTTTATTAGCTAATAACGGAAGTGTGCATGAAGAGAAGTCAAATCCTTTCTGTAGTCGAAATTGGCACACTAACACAAAAAGAGGCAAGAGAAAAGACTGTTTTGCCACAGGTGTCCCTCCTTGCTTTGTGTTTTCTGGCAGCGCGGATGGGCACGTGGGGATCAGCGCAGGGCGCGCGGCTCGGCTGCCTCCCCGCTCGGGGCGCGCACCGGCCGCACGGCCGCGTTCCTCTGCCTGCTGTGGGCTAGCAGCTCTTGCAGCTAAAATGTCACCATCATTTTTAGGCCAATTAGGCCGCCAAAGATGCAATTATTAACAGGTTTACAGGAAGCTCAAGTCGTAATTATAGAGAAAAGTCTAGTAATTACTTCTTCCCTGGCTGATAAACACCTCAGGATAGAGCCTCAAAGTGGCTTTATTTATTTTATTTTGTTTTATTTTTAGCTCAGGATGTAGCTGTTCCTGATAAACAGGAAATGGCACACTTGGAAAAATGTCACAAAGAGGAAGCACTTTAGAAAGATCCGAGGAGGATCTCTCCGCGCCTTCCTGGAGAAGCAGAGTAGACCTGCTGGGCATAAAGCAGCGGCTGCCGCACTCGGCCTTTTGGCCAAGCAGGCTGAGGGCTCCCAACCCCATCTTTTGGCATTTGGGGTTTCCCCGTTGGCTTGGGGTGAGACCACAGAGAGCTGGGTAGACTTGCTGTCCCCATCAAGCGCGACCCAACACCCTGGCCCATCCGGGTTTTGCAGGGCAGCTGGCAGTGTCACCGCCACTGTCACCGTGGATTTCACCTGAGCACCAAGTTGAGGCGGGAAGAGGAGGTGGGAAACGTGTTGCAGGGCCTGAGAACACTTTTAATTAGTATTAGGCTCTCTTTTGTGCCTGCAATATTTAAGTACGATTGCCTTCTTTTTATTAATATCTCCAGAAGGAGGGTTTTCCGATCACATTTAAATCAAAGTCCACTGGAGCAGCTAATGAGTTTCAGAAATGTAATCTTAAGGGCATGTTGTCAGATTGTAATAAACAGAAAACTG